TTTCCATCAAAAGGTTTGGATGATAAAGGCGACGATAACGAACAGTGGTCGACCTACAAACAATACAAATCTGTGAAAAAAAGGGTCCCCGGAAATTCCAGAGGTGGGATCAGAAGCTTAGGAGGAATAAGCATCCCTTGTCGACCGGTCACACCCGCCGTGAGCCCTTTGTATTGATCAGGTAGACGAAATATTCCGAGTCAAATTTAGTAAAAGAACAAAAGCCTATCAATTGATATGAAATATGTCAGTCAAGATACAACCCAATGATAGGTTATATTTGCATGCTAACTAGGTCATTATAACTACCATACAATTTACGAAATGCTGCCTTTAAATGAGGTCGTTGAAATCCCCGTAACATTAACTTATCAGTCAGTAGCCTACCTCAGTTTAAAAATCGATTGTACTTAGAGCACGCTCTTGAGTATCAATAGCTTGTAAACATAAACACCCTATGCAGGTGATAGCGGAATATAACTGCATAAATAGGGAAAGTTGACGATGGAATAGCTGAAGTCGTCTCATTTATCATACTATTTAATTGTTAGTTGGCCATCATCGTCTACAGTCAGTAAAACATCCAATTATGAAACAGATGTGGTAGATTTGTGGTGTCTTTTATGTCGAGTTCACTTGGATATATTGCGTCGATCTTATCTCCTCCTTCTTTTTTTTTGGGGGGGGGGGGGTGTAATGAAATGAATAAACCGGCATGAATTGAAAAGGGAAAATATATTTGCTTTTTTCTCAAACTTAAAACTTTCATAAATAAAGCAAAAACAGTAACGCTTTAGTTCTGAAATTGATCCAACTACCCTTAAACAATTTTAAATTTTACTGAAAAAAACCCAAACAAACCGACCTACAAACCAACCAACCAACAAACAAACAAACAAAACAAAATATTCTGAATGTACTCGAAATCGGCGGATCTTTGTGTGTGGGTGAGAACACAAGGTTAAAAATTATTTTGAAAAGAAAGAATAAACGCTGATTGAAGCTAGTGATGTATCAATTTTATTTTCCATGCTTCATACGGTTCAATTAAAATGCACTTGTATTTCATTTCTTATATTGAACATATTTAAGATTTCTATCAGTGATAATTATAGTTGCCGAATTTTTTTTCTGGAGGGGAGGGGGATTGCTTTTCCAATGATATTTTCAATGCTCTATTTTGGACCATATTCAAGAGGTTGAATTTCTTAGGCTTAGATGGACACTAGCATAGTGTTTTTATTCGGGTAAGGAATATTACATCCTTAATTAAATTCGACTTCTTGATCTATCATTGATGTACATGGAATTAAAGCAACCTTGTTTGCACTCAATATTATAGTCACTTGGAAGTTTCAAAATCTTTGACATCCTGTGACATTCTTCCTTTAATTGTACATTAAATGGAATATGTCATGCTTGAATATATATAATGTATTTCCCATTTAATTTATCTCCAGCATAATTGAGCGATACAGACAGAAAATTCTCAGATGATATCAACAACGAAAGAGCAATAACTCCAACTAAATACTTTTTTAAAAAGGATCTTAATAGTAGTATTTGATCAAAATGAATTCAATTTTCAATATTTATATATTTTCTATACATAAATTATTTTTTGACGTTATGATTTTTTTAAGAATGTATTCATATATTCATTTTGAATTAGAATACATACACTGTATAGTCTTTTTGAGTGATACCCGTAGCTATTTATTTGTAGATAAGTTGCGCTAAAGTTCGAAGTAACTTTTTCCGTCGTCCGTTCGTCTGCTTGTCGCCTGTTAACTTCTTCAATCAAATCTGTCATTAAGCAACCTAAGGAACAGGGGATGGTTATGTGTAATTGATATGAATAGAAATAATTACATTTTTAACAGTATTAATGTTACAGTCATTTTTACATTTTAAGAATGTTAAATGAATTTCCTTTGAGTTTTTTTTCTTAAATAAACTCCTGTTTAGTTGAATTATAAATCTTTTAAATAATAGGTACGGTATAAACAAATAGTTTAGGTGTACATACCAATCAAGGGTGTGCCGCAATAAGGAGGCGCAGTTTTACATGGGAATTCTCAACAGAAAATCCACAACCAATCTTATTGATACATGTATTACGCATCCTCATATTGTGGATTCAACATCCTTCAAATCATGATCCCTTGTGCAGTGTTGGGGTTCTCAATACATTTTCAAATTTTTTATAAATGAACATATGGGGAAAAGATCTTTAAAATTTTCCTAGGTCTCAGGAACAGCATGCGCAGGAACTCAATTAATTATATTAGTACATGTGCATGTATATAATTGTAAGAAATTAAGTCAAGCCCCAAGATTCAATGTATCAATTTTGTTCAAATTACATGTACATGTAATACAAGAGATTAAGGTGTGGCCATATTGATATAGGGTCAAAGATTCATACCGAAAACTTAAGAAAAAAAAGTCTTTCAATTTTTTTTTCTCATGAATAACAGGATCACAAACAGACATTTTAATCAGCAAGATTGGTTTCCAATGTATTGAAGATTTTAATTTTTTTTCAACTGTGGTTCCCACGCCGAAGTAAGTACTGCCGACTAAATAATATACATATTATGGTTCCCATGTAGGGAAGAGTTAGGAGACTATAGGGGGTTAAAATTTTGCAAGCACATACAAGAAGTAAAGATTCAAATACCACATTGTAAATTTGTAAATTTTTTTTAAAATTGTCCAGATCATAGAGTTCACTATTATATCCATGCATATCTATGAGAAGGTGAAAATAACGAACAGTGATCAATAGTTAACGTTCAATACAGAGCGGCCAAAGTGTGCCGAGTGCTCCCACTGTATGCAAACAATCATTCCCTGAAGCATCAATGAATGGGAGTAATTAAATATTTTAGGAGAACATGGATGAAGTAGATTTGGAGGAACAAGAAGGTACATGGAGGGTTTAGAGAGCAGATATCATGGAAGGGATGGGGACAGTCCACTACTAGCATGTCCCATGGTACCTGTGAATTATAGTATTATCTAAAAATACATAAATAATTGAGCTTTCAAACTTGGTTCCTATGGAAGATCAATCGTTTCTAAGAATGGATGAGTATTTTGATATTGCAGCGGAAAGCAAGTCTACGGGGATTTGACATTGCGAAAAAAGGCCGCCGCTTCGGGAAGGGATCCATCATTATTAGCACTGGCGGATTTAGAGGGGGTGGGGGCAACCCCCCCCCCCTTTGTGTCCAAAAATATACATAAGATTAATTAAATCAATGTTTTTGGTGTGGTCCCTGGGCCCCCAAGGCCTCAGGCAAACAATTTGCTTCAAGGGGTCGGCAAATGCATTCTATCCGAGAACACAGTCAATAAATATTTGTTTAATTTACCTTTTACTTTTTGAAATGATATAGCTTGTGCTGGTTTCCATGTTTGTGATGGATGTTAATTTCGTTTATCCACAATGCATATTTAACATGTTTAACTCAGTAATTAAATCCTTAAAGTGCTGAACACAAACGATTGCAATCAAAATATACATGTAGCTGATCCCGCCTACAATGTGGCGCACAAAATAAATAAATAAATAAATAAATGATAAAATAAAGTTGTGTTTTTTTGTGTTTTTTTTTTAAATAACGTTATAGCTGTCCAAGTAACATTTCGCCGTCACCTCTAAAATCACCTATAGTTACCAAGATCAGTTTTTTTTTTACCGCTCAGTGCGTACAATATTGGAAATGTAAGACTTTTTAAAAGTATACATTTAAGAAATAAGGTATCATTTTTAAACATCTATCGGGATATAAATACGGGTTGGTCACGAGATCAAATGCCATAAAGCCCGAAGGGCTTTATGGTTATGGTAAATTTGATCCGTCGAACGTTTATGACGCGAGGAACCTGTGTTTATACTGATATAGATACGCGTTGCTTTTAATAGTGTTATATAAAAGAAAACATTTGCAAATGTAAATATGTATATTTAGTCCGAAATATCTGAAGTTTTCCAGGCGTTTTCACGATTTTGATATTTTACGTTTCCTGGCACGTCAAATATCAAAATCGTGAAAAACGCCTGGAAAACGCGTAAGATATTTCGGACAAATGTATATTTATATAGGAAACAATTGAACCTGTTTGCCTGAGGCCATTAGGCCATGTTTAGAAATAAGTCAAAATTTATTCAATAATATCGTTTTAACAAATGTGGTAGAAGCGCTCATATGGGACTAACTATAGCTTATTTATTTTTATAAGGTTTTACTTTTCATTCCCAATTTTTGTTGAGCAATAAATTATTTTTTACCCCTTAAATGAAAGCACATCAAGTTGTCTTTCCTTCGTTCGTTTTCATGCAAATATTCTTCTCCAGGAAACTTAGATTCCTTATTTGTTGGTAAGGAGAGACATGTGTATACATGAAAGCGGCTTCTCAACCCCAAACCGCACTACGAAATACAGGTTATTTGCGGGGAGGATGGGGGTTGGGCAAGTTGTTTAGGTATTTATTTATTTATTTTTATTTTTTATTTTTTGCTGGTAAATAAAAAAAATGAAAATCTGAGTCAGATTTTTACTTGAGTGTGGAACCCCCCCCCCCCCCATCCCCCGGGAAATTTTCATGGATCCGCGCATGTATAACCCGATAACTGAGACAGCGAAGATTTTACGTATAAATACTAATGTGTAAAGTATTAATTAGTTAATGTGCAGCAAAGCATTTACTGAGTAATAAATGAAAAGTTCATGTGAATACAGTATATTAGACAAAACCTACCCAATCGAAGTCCCTTTCCACCATTTCTTAAAATGATAAATTGCCGCACATTACGCATGTCTGCCTTCTTAATATCCATTCTAATTTCTAATAGAAGCAATGTTTTGTAATCATATATCCATTATAATTCTTCCATCAATCTTTCAATGTTATTTTTTTATGTCAAAAAGCATTCGCTATAGTTTTCCGGAACGTTTATTTTTATTGCGCTTGGTTTCTACATTTACTCCTTACTTACGAAAAATGGCGCTGACGAATAACGTCCGGTCGATAAAAAGAAAAACAGAAAATTACAATGCATATGACTAACTTAATGTTTGTCATGTACTGAATCACAGAAATTTCGACACAAGTTTATTTTTGCTTCAAGTATTTACATTTTTCTACATTTGGAGTGGACGGAATTGTTTGAAAAGTAAGTATGAAAACTTTAAAGTTTTGGTCATGATGTTGGGCGAGTGGCCTTGGCATTGTACCGATGTTGTTTACTAGAGAGCGTAGTGAAGAGTAGTGGATACTATGTAAACAGATAGTTATTCAACCGACTCTTATATAGCGTGATTTAACAGTAAGTTAAATGTAGAATCATGAATGAGTTATATATTTTTTCTTCTTTCATAATCTCTATGTGCATAATATCTTCAGAATTTTATAAAATATGTTTGTTAGTTTTATTTAATCTTACAGATTTATTATTCATATTTATGAGGATGTTTGACCCTATCCTGTATGAGTCACATTTTAGATATATTTGAAACTATATACTTTTCAGTGACCTGCTCAGCCATAACTAAAATATTTTTTTTAAATATTACATCACATATCATAATAGATAAAGCATTTGGAAAATCTAAATAGGATGGAAAGCAGGAAAGTCAAACCATTATATTTTTAGATGTTTGAGGCTTTTATTGGGTAAGAATAACTGAAAACATGAACATTTATGAAAAATAAATAAATAAATATGTCTCTTACTACACCATATGCCCATCATGTGTACACTACTGAATACAATATGTTACCTTTATTGGAATACATATTTTCTTCAGATAATAAGGATATTCTGAACAGTTATACATTTTAAAGGTTTTTGAAACAATTTTGAATAGATATGATTTTAACATTTTAAAGTTGAAGACAAAATTACAAGGGCTCTCACACACCTTTTTGGGACTGGGGCCAAGGTCATGAAAATTGGAAAATTATCAACTTTTGGGGAAATTTTGTGAAAATTATTTATACGCATAAAAACTCATCATATTTTTGGTTCCATGTGTTTATTATCAGCTAAATTCTGTTTTACAATACAGGAACTTGAGTAGCTCAAGTTTAGTTACTATCTATATATATATCCAAATGTTTGTTCTTTAATTTTGGGGGATAATGACTATCAGGAAAATTAACACATTCATTTTGGGAAAAAAACAGTCACTTTTGAGAAGTGGGAACAGGGCCTTTCAGTGGCCCCAAATGATAGACATTGGAGAGCCCTGCTTACTGAGATGTCAATATTACACTGTATAAAATTGTTTAAGATATATTATGTATGAGATTAAGAATAGGTTTTCTTTGTATTATGAAAAAAAATACAGAAGTATTGAATTATCAGTATTACTATGCAGTCGCATCCAATTCTTTGGCTTGATTCTCTTGGTAAACAAACAAGTTTCATAAACTAAAGTATATGTTAAGAATTAATAGATTCTTGATCATGCTCTCTAATGAAAAAAAAAATGTAGGGAAAGAAGGCTGAATATTTATTGTTGTTTTTTCACTGCTATGAAATAGAAATCTGCTTTAATTAATAGCTGACAAAGAAAGATGAAGTTACAGATATGACTGCACACAGTTATATAACACTGTATACCAATAATTTTTAATATTTACTTGAAATACCCCATCACTACATTAAAAAGCTTTCAGTATCAAATATAATCAAACCTAGACTAAACCTTTAACTTCAGTTTGGAATTTCTTTAAGGATTTGGTGTATCTAGCAAAAAAGATAAAAACTCAATTTGATATGAAAACAACTCTGGAATTTTTATGGTAGAAAAGAAAAATATTCTGGAATGTTCAGAAATGACTTAACCATGCAGAGATGAGAATCTTGCAGTTAATTTTATGAAGCCTATGATTTGTCTTAAATAATTTTGAAGTTTTATTTCTGGAATTTAAAGCAACATATTAAATATTGGAATTTAAGTCTCCATATGATATCACGTATGATACAAAGCGCACAATAAAAAATCATGATATTCTGATATTTTCACATATCCCTATCTTGCAAGTGTCTATTCTTTGATTTGGCAATAAAAAAAATTGATACTTACTGAAAAAATGCAAATGTTTCTAGAATGAATTTATATACATTGATTTAACAAGTATGCAATATAGTATAATTTATTTTTTAGCAACAGTTGAAATGCTCTTGTTCTATGCATTTTTTCATATTCATTTTTAAATATACATAAGGTACATTTTTAACTATCACAGAAGTGCATTTAACTATAGATATGAACAAAGAACTATAAATAGATAAGTATTGATTTACAGTCAGTATAGCTTCCCATAGATACATTTAAACATCTGACAGGAGAAATAAAATTCAGGTAAAGTATGGACAGGTTTATTTTTGGGAGTTTAGATTGTATGATTAACATATGGACCCTGAAAATGAAACTGCTATTAAAGATTTGTTTTTTTTTTTTTTGTTTTTCTCTTTGCTGTCTATATAAGTATTGATTACTGGATCAGGATGGGCATTTTTGCATGAGCAAATATTGACATTATAATGACACGTAAAAAGATAATGGTGTATTCCTGACAAGGATATTAAGCTTTTAAAGGTAAAATTAGGCAATGGATTAAATAAAATGCTATCCCAATTTGATAAGAATGAACAAATATTATGTTGGAAAAAAAAATGTTTTTTTTTTCTTTGCTCTCGAGAATTAGTATCATGCAGGATGTGAAATTTTAGTCGAAACAAGTATTTCCCATTAAATGTAAGGATTTTATCACAGAAAATGACGTGCATTTTATAATATTTAAAGAGACTGCTGATCATTATATAGAACTGTTGAAGAACTACAAGTACAAAATAATCATGTATTATATATAAACTTATGTCTTTAATCCTGAATAATATAATGAAGGAAAAATTTATAATAAATATCTACATGTATATGAAATGAACATTTATATTTTATTTTCATCTTTTTCAAATTAAAGATCATAATTTAATTATCCTAAGATTAAAGATGGCATGAATGAGTTGGTTCTTAGTTTTGAATGATTTTTATTAGATGAAAGTTTTTAAGGTTACTTTTTGGGTGTAATTAAATATTTTAAGATCTCTCTTATTTTACTTCCTGACAGACCCAGCAGATTTTCTTACGATGGCCGTCACACCAACAGGAAAAGGCACGTCCTACCAATATGATTCTCAAGGTATAATCTCCATAATTGTTACCATATTCTTCCTTATATATAGGAAATGCACTGTGGATTAGGTCTTTTAACAGCAAAATTGTGTTAAGGAAACTTTGTCTTTTCTTTCAAATCCTGTTAAATTTGTCTTTTCTTTCAAATCCTGTTAAATTTGATATTTCTTTTGTTCATTCTTTTGAAAAAGGAAGAATAGAAGGTTTTTTTTAGATACTTTGAAAAAAAATCTCATTTCATTTTTCTGTTAAAAGGAAATACAATGAAGAGAGATTTTTTTTTTATGATTTCAATGGTCATTATGCCTTTGAAGGATAAACAAAATATATGATTTTAAGGGCATTTTTCTAGTAAATTCTGAGTTGTGATGAGATGAAATATGGAGATGAGAGTGTGATTAATGTTTTAGATAAAACTTTCGGTTCTTTTTACCTTACTATGAATGAGCAGAACATGAAAAACTAGAAGAAAATTACATAGATGATACGTCAGTCTGCAATTTTAGAAAAATAAATCATGGTTTTAGAGTTGTATGGGTTCATCTTTATGCATAATTCACAAAATTAAACAAGAAAGTCCCACATCTATGTCTTTCAATTAATGCTTCTGTGAAAAGCTATGTATGCTCTACAACACAGTGTAAATAAACTGAATGTAAAAAAAAAAAGCATTGTCATGGCAATTAAGGTATAGAAATAAATTTGATGAAATTGATTTTCACTGGGTTTTCCCTAACTTCAGTGAATTGGGCAGAACTGAATACCATACATAATTTATAAATATCAATATATAGTACCGGTACTCAATAAACATGATAAAATGAAGAAAGCTTGCATCTTTGTCGAATTATTGCAGTATTTTTGCTTGTGTTGTTGAAGTATTGATTAGAGTTGGAAAATCAGAAAAAAATATATGTATGAGCTATTTAATGTTTTATTATTAATTTAAAAAGGTAATGTTACTCATTAACAAGGTACATTTGTAAATGACTTCTTTCTGTATTAAGAGTGAAATTTAATACCACTTAAAGTAATTTTAATGCTTGTTGATGATTTTGTAAGTAGTTTTGGCTGGAATTAATATTTGAAAGAGAATTTGGAAATTAAAAGGGGTTTAGAGGAGGGTTTAGGGGTGGGGGTGGGGATGTTACAGGGTTGGAGGATCCAGTAGGAGTAGAATTTGACCCCCATTTTGGGTAATTTTAATCCTTCTTGATAATCTTACAGGTAGTTTTGACTGGAATGAATATCTGAAAGAAAATGATTGTGTACCTGCTCCACAGTCTTGTTTCAAACAGGTAAGTTTGAGAGACAATAAATCCTCTGGGTTAGAGTTGAATTTGTAAGAAGTTTTAATAACTATACAGTTTGCTTTACCTTCAGTGCTTTCATAAGAACACTGATTAGGTACAGGTTTCTTTGCAACTTTCAATGCATATGTTAAAATAGACTGCCCATTGTTCAAATAAGGTCTATTAAAAAAAAAAACTATTTGGCGTGTAAATGAAAAACATTAACTTAAAACTCACTTCATTATATGTTTTATAGTCTGTAGATCCACCAGTCAATGAGTTCAAACTGAACCAGAAGATTGAGGCAGTGGACCCGCGTAATCTGACCTCGATATGTGTGGCTACCGTGGTGGGTATGATTGGCCCTCGGATACGACTGAGGCTGGACGGAAGTGACAATACTAATGATTTTTGGAGGCTCGTAGATTCCTCAGACCTTCATCCCGTGGGATATTGTGAAAAGACAGGGAAACTTTTACAGCCACCCCTAGGTTTGTTCTTTATAGAAGGGAATTTGAAGAATAAATGCACCTGTATTGAAGTCTTAGTTTCCATTGGGTGTATGAGTAATTTTATTATACTCAACAAAAAAAATATGTTTGAGAACTTGTTTTGAACCAGAAGCATGATATACAACATGTATGTTATTAAATGTAATGTATAGATACAATTGCAATGAAACTTGTGCAGAATACGTTATTCATTTGTTTAATTTTTCAGTTGCTAGCAACTTTAGATTTATATAAGATACATGTGCATATAAATCTGAGGGAGTTGTGAATGAAAAAAAAATAAGAACAAAAAAGAAAAAATATAGTCTTTTTGCATTTTAGATGTCACCAATCTTTCCCTCAAAGGATTACAATGAAACTCATCGTAAAATGTTTCATTTTTATATTATTAAGGTTTCTGTAAGAACCCAACACTGTGGCCCTCATTTCTTCAGAAGACATTACTAGGGGCAGAAAGAGCTCCAGAAAACTGTTTCAAAAAAGAGCCCTCCACACCCAAAACAAATGATTTCAAGGTAGGTATGAAGCTAGAGGCAGTAGACAGGAAGAATCCACAGTTAATCTGCCCCGCCACAATCGGGGCTGTCAAAGGAGAGGAGGTCCATGTCACGTTTGATGGCTGGAGGGGTGCTTTTGATTACTGGACCAAGCGTGATTCCCGGGATCTGTTTCCTGTGGGATGGTGTTCTACAAGTGGTCATCCCCTTCAACCTCCAGGGCAGAAAGGTAGGTCAATAATAAACATGAAATAAAACCATAGATTTAGATGTTGTTCAGGAATAATATTAAAAAACAAAATGAAAACAAAACTCACACAGTACATTTAAAATTTGTACTCTTCAAAATTATTAAGATGTAAATCTTAATAAAATCTGTATCTATAGTATTGCAAAGTAAATGCAAAAAATTAGAAATGCAGAATTCTGAATGCTACTTTTGAAGGATGGTATTGCAGATACTTAATTCAGAAATCACTTACACTGTATTATGTGTTAGGACATGTAAAGTCCATTGTGCAATAATACACAACACTGAATTTTACATGTAAATATTGAACAGGTACACCCCAGGTGAAGAGTAAATCCCGTGAACCCTCTGTGTCACAGTCCGCCCACTCCCCAGGGAATCAGAGCAGCACGTCCAAATCCTCCACCTCCTCTTCTGGTCCCACCAGTCCGAACCTCCCCCACGACAGATCTGTGTCCCCCCTCCAGGCAGAGTTCCCTGTGGTCACTGTCACTGAGCCAGATACGAGCTCCTCCACCACAGCAACAGATAAAGGTGTAATATTGTCTATAGGCAGTGAATTACCCTCTGTTGATCATGAAATTTTTGTGACACCTTATTTTTGGTATTGATAATGAGAAAAAATATGCTGAATTTTTGTTACTGCTGTATTTAAAGCTTAGAGTTAGAAATATACATAAGAATGAGCTGATGGCTTTAGGTATTTATGCAAAAATAAAGTTATCACAAATAAAAGTGATTAACAGAATATATATGCATTTCCTCAGAAATAATTTGATGATCTTTCTGTGTCAGTCTTCTCACATGGTGTGTAATTTTGATCAAAACTGTAAAGTGATGATATTTTCAAATTTATCTGGCATTTTATTTCAGTAACAATTTATGTGAATCACAACTGTAGCTGTGGTATCTTACTAAATCCAAGGAAGATAGAGCAGCTTCCGAATCAGTATGGACCAGGTCCCTATCAGAAGGTTCTAAGGGAGGTAATTCAGGCATGTGTGGATTGTGCAAATCATGAAAAACAGGTGTACAACTTTATCCAGGACGGCAATGGCAAAATAGTCATTACAGGTGAGTTAAAACTAGGAAAGTTGAATGTATGTGAAAACAAATTTTGAGAATTTGAAATATATCTGTTATCCTGTGCACAGCTTAGACAAAGTTTTAGTTAAATTAACACAATTGGAAATTTTTAAGTTTATCATGTTCATGAAATTTTTTTTCTTGATCATTGCTTTGATTTCATATATTTTACAATTGTTCAGTGTTCTTAATGATAGCCAGGAATTGTCATATGCACATGTACATGTATAACCAATGTTCTATTTTCTTTGTATTATAGCAAACCAAGGCAATAAGACACACACAAAGAGACTTCCTCCTATAGACAAGGTGTCGGATGTCTGGCGATTTCTGGAAAAGTCCCTGGAGGAGCTCGGATGTTGTGAGAATCTCTTCGCCAGTCAGCCATTACATGGATTCTGTGCTCAGTGTAACAAGGAGAAGAAGACAGGTAGTGATTTTAAGAGTAAGTGGATTCATTGATTTAGATAGGAGCAACATTACAGTTCGTTTGTTGATTCAGTGTTAAATTCAGAAATTTAAAAATATGTCATAAATAGTATAAATAGTATTATATATTTACCAAAATTCATGACCAATTTTTAGCACCTCTGCATATATAGAACATTTTGATAAGCTTACAGCAGCAATTGTGAGGTCAGACTTGTGACCTGCAATGCTGCTTAACATTGCTAAACTGTCATATACCTTCAAATACTGGCTGTGAACATCTCTATAGACTTCAAGCTGTGGACATATTTGAAATCGAATCCTTTTGCACAATATGCATAAAATATTGTCGGACATTCATAAGTGGCATCAAATTCTTCCAAGATTTAAAGTTTTGAATTGAATAATTTTAATTATTGATGTGAAGTATTGAAATAAAGTACAGATGAACATGTACATGACTTAAATAAGAATTTGTTTTCCTGGAACAACTAAGAGAAGTAAAACAGTAGAAGAGCAAAGCTTTCCTTATAAATTTTCTTTATTTGATCAATCATTGCAGAACCTCTGGAGTCTGAAGAATACGAAAACAGAACGTCCATCAACAGAGCTCTAAAGAGGAGATGGTCTACAGACTCAGTAGAAAATCAGTCCCTGAAGGCTCAGCAGAAAATCAGGAGGTTCTCAGCTTATGACTCTGCTGAAGGTTTGTATGTGTGACTGTTAGTGTTTCTGAGAAGTTAGGAGAAGATAAATCAATTCTTGGCTGAAGTATGTGCTGAGGGTTCTTATGTATTTATACAAGTGTGTGTATGATCATCAGATCTGATTAATCAAAAGTTTTGTTTGTTTGGATGTGTCAGAACTATACGAGGGGTTATCAAAAAGTTCGTGGACTGACGCGATAAAATTAATAATATGTAGTCTTTGCTTACAAAATTTATGCGGAACATAAAACAACAAAAGTTTAAGAAATGTTGAAAATTTTAGCTTGATACGTTGATAATTTGCCAAATTATTCTAAAATTAAAAAGACTTTATGTGATCACCCGGCGCTGTCGCCGTTTAGTGTCATGACGTCCGCTTAACGTCATTGTTTCTTAATGTCCGCTCTCTCTACCTCATACACTTATCTTGATGAGATTACCTGGAGTTAAGTAAGGACTTAAACCCGTATTATTTATATGAATTTACAATGTCATGAGCAGCTGTTTTCAATGCATATAATATTGTAAATGGATCTTTATATGAGGAAAGATCCTCACTTGATTATGCCAGAATACTTAGCTTGTTGGAGTTCAATTTCTACCACACAAGATCAACGTCACTTTTCGACGTGACTGACTTTTGACACCCTGACTACAAATCGACACTAACTGTGCATATTTCATCTCTCTGAATCTTTTTGGGCATTAAAAAACAAGTACTCTGGGTGCATTTTATTTTTCTGTAGCCAGTTTAAACATTCCTTATGTCAATACCAGTTTTTCCAGGAGCAAAACTCTATAGAGTGTTTGAAAAAGAAACCCCTCCCCCTTTTTGACGTTATTTTCAAGCCCATAATTGTTTGGACACTCCATATAAAATTTACGATAAAATTTCATAGAAATTACAGAATGGGGTTAAAATTGCAAATTTTACTGAACAAATGTTTCGTACTACATGCCTGAATTAACAAGATTTTTTGATGACAAATACTCATATCTAAAGAGTTTTTCTCAGTTACACTCAAGTAGAAAAAAACGTCATATTAGAGGTTGCGCCGCCTGGACATACCTTTGCTTACAAAAACACTAACAATTTATTAAAAAATAAAAATTATGATTTATGGTTTATTCTATAGATAGAAAAAGATGATGCTAACTAAATGTTTAAAAATTCATTGATGTACCTAAAGCGGTTTTAATTTTATGACGCTAGTCCACAAACTTTTTGATAACCCCTCGTATGTATTCAAAATCCATTGGAAGTTTATGTGGCCATTTGTTATGGAGATGCACATTCATTGAAACACTTACACAAATGAAAGTAAATATCACTGAAGATCTTTGTATCATTTCTTATCTTTTTATGCAAGGGACACAGGGGTTACAAGGGACAAAAAACTTGAGAAAGTTTTCGGATTTAATTTAAGTTCAAGTCTTCTGAATGGGCTTGAAATTCCTTCAGTAAATGACAGACATAATCAATTAACATTATTTTCTATTCCAGCAAGTTCTACTACGGACAGCCGGCCCCCTCGTAAGCTGTCCGCTGACCCCAATGACTGGACAATAGATGATGTTGTCCAGTATATCTCAGAAGTGGACTCAACTCTGGCCTCACACTCAGAAGTGTTCAGGAAACATGTTAGTATTCTGTAAAGAATTGTTAATGAGACATTCTTTTTCATCACTTTTTGTTGTGAAATAGTTATGATAGAACATTGCAAATTTGGTAATTTAGTATGTTGCTTCAAATATAGCTTTAAGCTCAATTTTTAGATCACCTTAGTTACTCAGGTGACCTATTGCCATCTGCTTTTCCCATCATTGTGCATTAACATTGAACATTTTCAGCCTCTTCTTTGAAACCACTGAATTAATTTCAGCCAATTTTGGCATAGCATCAATGGGTGAAGGGAAACAAATTGTGAATTTCATGATCCTTGCCCCCTCGGACTTGAGGGATGGGCTAAAACGAACAAAATTAATGCAATCTTTGAAAGTCTTCTTCTTTACTCCTGAACATCAAGCCATTAAAGTGTTGCCCTGATTGTAATAAGCACTGAGCCTTTTAGGTCACCTGAGTGACTCAGGTGACCAATTGCTATCTGTCTATTAATAATAAAAATAGCTATGCTAATAATATTTCAGCAATTTGTATATATACTACATTGTATCTGGAAACTTTGAAATTGAAATGCTCTCTGTTCCATGTATCTGTATGCAATCTACATCTTGACACATGTCTCTCCGTACTGATAATAACAAGTACATGTAGCTTTCCTGGAATTTTCAGGAAATTGATGGAGGCGCTTTCATGCTGTTAAACAGTGACATGATGATGAAATATCTGGGATTGAAACTGGGACCAGTATTGAAACTCAGCAACATCATTGAAAAGCTGAAGGGAAAAAAGAGTTCTCACTAGTCAAGAATTCCACGTGTGCACCAGGGAAAAGATCAACGGAAAGAAATATTCCCACTAGTCCAGGATTCCAGGCCACCAGAAGATGTTCTGAAAAATGTGTGACATCATGATATGTAATTTGTGTAAAACGTGTTTTAATAAATGTGTGATGTCATAATGTGTAATTTGTGTAATACATGTACTTTTTCTTGTGGTCGTCATTTTTTGGTGTATTATGAAATGAGGCATGTAAATAGTGTATGTAATTTTGTGATAAAAACTGACAAAGAACAATTTGTTGTTCAAACTATCAATTAGTTATTATAATAGTATCTGTATATATAAGCTTTTCATTTTATGTATTTATGCACATCATTCATGTATCCATTATTTGATTTGTGTTAAGTTGTGTAACATTATCACTGTTAACAAGAAAATTTGACCAAACAGATATATTCTAAGCATATTAAAATCTCATTCACTTATGGAAAAAAAAAAATGAATCTACAAGAAGCTGCAGTGCAAAACACATATTTTTCTATTATATGAATATTTGTTTTATTATTTGCTAATATGATGATTTTTTTTTTTTTGGTAATTTTGTTGTCTGCTGTGTAATGCTTTTACAAGCATGAATAAAATACTGTTCTCAAATTTCTATGCATATGACTTATAGTACAATCATTTTTTAATACATTATTGCATTGAAAATTTATTTTACTAAATTTTGGTGCAATGTTCCCCCCCCCCCCCCCCCCCCCCAATCGTGCGCTTCATTATCATCATCAAATTCATTCAGAATCCTCACTGAGGATCCGTATATTGTTATTGTTAAAATACTACTTGATTGTGATGGCGAACAAAACTTGTTAATTGAATTTGTTAAGGTTTGTTTGATACCTACTTTTTGACGCTTGTTAAAACCATGTTGTTAATTCCTGATGGTGCCTAGCACTTGATGTTCTTTGAAACACACAATTTATGATCAATTTTTGTCCTTTCTTAAAAAAAAAAATAGTGTACTATCATGCAGTGATTTTATTTAATAGAGTCAGTGTTAAAAATGTGTAGTGACACAAAGTTTTTCTTGGAACATACAGTTGTAGTGCAATCTGATTTTTGTTCAAATTGTGGACACTATGTTAAGATGAATTTTTGAAAGGATGATGTAAAGTATTTGCTTTTTGTAAATATTGGTTATTTATGTTAGTGATTTTTAAACGAATCTTACTGTCTTTTACTTAAATTATTGATATTCAATGGCTTAATGTTCTAGTTCTACCAAGTGGAATGGAGGCTTTAGTGTTTTGGTTTCAAATGCAGCTGACTTTTAGGCATTCAGTGGACAACTGAATAAAATGTATGTGTTTTACATAAGTTCTTGCCCCTCCTATTTATTGCTTTGTAAATAACATGAAGTTATCTACTGCAGGCATCCTCTGGTATTCATTAATTTTCATCTGAGGTTCCTTTGATGTTGGCTGATTGGATACCTGCATGTATATAAACTGTATACCAACTTTGTACATAAAATGTACTAGAATTTTTTTTCTTTTTTTCTTTTTCATTCAGGGTTAATGACTTATGTTTAATTAAGAAAACTAAGAAATTATGCTGATGTCATTGTATGCACATACATGTGTTTAGCATAAGGATATTCGCAAGTCCTGTGTTTATGATAATATAATTTATTATGTACGGGTAACTTGGGATATCTTTGATAATGAAGTTTTTTTTGTTTTGCAATTAAGAAGTTATAACACACCTAGTTGAACAGTAAATGGAAATTTTTATGATTAATGTTAATACACTCTAATAATTATTTTTTTTTTTAATTTAAGTAATGTATATGCATGAAAAACTGTATTTGCTTATAAAGTATTTGAAAAGCAATTAATGTGAGATTGAAACAAAAAGTAAATTGAAATCTTAGCTTGGTTGTAGCTCTGGCCTACAGCTTATGGAATAAATAATTTGACTCACTCATAAATGTATACATGCTTTATTTTAACAGGATAAAAAAATACGAAATTGCATTGAATTTTGCAAATGTGTAATTCTTCCTTTTTTAAAATCTTGCGATGTATTACTCCTTCTTGATTAAATTTCCATTGTTTTAGAATTTCATTAACATGTAATTCAATTTTGAGGTCAAACATACAGTACATGTCATAAGTATATTATTTGATTTTTAAAGCTTTTTTTTGCACTAATGAGGGTTTTATATCTCAAACTGGGAGAAATCATTACCACTGTACTAACTACTCCATTTAATTTTCAAGCATAAGAATATTTACTTTTCTCAATTAAGAACTTGCACTTATAACATTTTGAAATGAATAAGCATTAATTTTATTGTAAAATACTATTATCTGGTTAAGAATTGAATACGTGAATAATTTCCTAAAGGAATTCAGGATATATTTAACAATTTTTAGTTTATTGACATTTTACATGTTTATATATAGACATATACAGAATTAACAACAGGTAAACAAAACTACATTTTAAAATTTTTAATGTTTGAATAGATAATTAGATATTTCACATAATTTCACACAGGGAATTAGATGTACTTAATTTTTGGAAAGACAATTTAAATAAAAATTAAAAAAAATGTGATTTTATCATGAACTTGCAATTGTATTTCTACATCTTGAAGATCTGTTACATGTATTAGGGACTTAGAAAATCCAAATAAAGTCAATGTGGTGCTGATATACTGTAGTTTTATTGATGTTTTAAGACACGCTGTACATACAGGCTCTGGAGGGCCATAAGACTGAGATAATCTCCCTTTTGATCTCATTCTCACTTTTCCCTTATTCATTCCTTTAGTGAAAGTGAGACTGAGAACAAAATTGAGCTCGTCTAAGTTCTATGGTCCAGGAGCCAGATCTGTGAAAACTTGCAAGTGATTTCTAGTTCAAGTAATATTGAATATTACAATATATAAGCATATTTTACCATGTATATTTCCGTATATTAAATGAAGACTCTGATTCCATGATTAAGATATCTTGACCAATCAGTGTCCCAATTAGCTGTAGAATTGTAGCACTCTGTGAAAGAAAATTTGGACAGACATACCCGGTGAGCTACGGATCCACCCATTGCAAAATCTTTAAATTTACAGCGACAAATTTTGTCACAAGCTTAGGTCGTTATTTCTAGCATTGTATGCATTCCCCCGCCTAAAGCATTGTATATCTTTTACTCCTGTTTCTTCATTAACCTTTCAACGGTTCTAAACGGCGATTGTTTTTGTATAAGTTAGACAAGTAAAGCACCGGTTAGATGTCTGCCCCTTTTTATAGATTACTGACATTTCAAGCCCACAGAAGGCTGCTTGGAACTGTTGAAGGGTACATTTAGTTGAAAAAGTAAGAGTACAGTATATTGTTATTCAGAAATGCCCTTTTCCTAGTTAACGTAAGAGAACAAGACCAAAGGAAAATATTGGTATAGTATTGATACATGTAATTTTGACCAATGTATTAATATGTAGTTTAACCTAAAACCAAAATGACATCGATTCTTACTCCAAACAGTTCCAACATAGGTATATATATTGCCGAAGAAATCTATGCGTAGTGACAATTTAAATTTTTAAAACAACTAGGTTCGGGATGAATAAACATTCTGGTGGTAACTTCTATTGTTCGAAGTACGTACTTCCGATGTTTCTCATCCGAAAATGATTGATTGTATACTAGTATCGTTTTACGTCCCATTCGAGAATTTTTCATTCATATAGAGACGTCACCATGTACCAGTGAAGGGCTTCAAATTTACTCGGCACTCAGACCATTGAGCAGTGAGGGTTCTTTATCGTGTCAACGTCTACCGTGACACGGGACCTGGGTTTTTAAGGTCTCAGTCGAAAAACCCGTGACTTTCACTTCTAATGTCGGGCGCTTGGCGAAGGAACAGTGACTACTTATGTTTACGTCGCAAAATGAAAACCATGCATTTTGCTTTAAATTCGAATTGTCCAAAAGTCCTTTTTAAGGTTAAGATGCACTTTAACCTTAGTCCTAGATATTTAAGTGTTTTTTATGTTTTTTTTGTTACAACGTTATTCACCGGCCAAGAATTTTACGCTTAGTTCTTGGGTTTTTTCAAATAATATTGTTAAAGGAATGGTATATCTGATATTTATACAATCATTCCTCATGATAAATTATAGACTAGGCTTTTTGACATAACAGACAACAGCTTCTTCAATAAATATGGAGATGGCAATTTTCATATCTTGTTAAATCATCTACAGAATAACTTCGTAAAATATCATTCTGATTTTACACAAAGTTCTCCAATGTTCACAGTACAAAGACACTGAAGTTCCCATCAACAATATCTATGTACAATCTTTGGATACCAAGTCTTGCAACAATTCGGAACACAAGCAAGTCTGTTTTTCGTATTTTCATGAAGTAGAATTTATTTTAAAAACTTCTATATGAGAAGAAAACTCTTGCTGTGCTCTTCAATACCACATTTACACTGTATAGTACTGAAATACTCAGATTTTAATGGCAAACTTACAACTAAAATATATAGTTTACACTATAGTTTACTATAGTGTTTTTGTTGTTAGGGATGTACAGTGTATACCTAAAAAAAATTCAGAGATTACTGAAATTTATCCCCAAAAAATTTATTGAGCCTGAAGGTGAAATATATACATTTGGAAACATAATACAATTTTGAGATAATTCAAATTAAGCATGTAAATTGCATTTATAAAAAGAAGTATTCTTATCAATAAAAATGTTTTTATTCTTGGTGATAGAAAAGTTACAATTGAAAGGAAAAACCTCTTAGAAATTGCAAATATTAATCTGTCAACCAGTATATTATATTTATGGCCTAATTATTCTATTTACTTCCATTAAAACTACAAGATAGTTTATAATGTGAGAAAATAAATGCATTCTACATTCGCAATTTTGTAACAAACGATTTTGGGACTTATTTTTAATTCCAGTTAAGTGTGCCGTTTTGCATTACGTCACAACCTATGATGACAGCTGCGCTCAAGGTATATAGTATACGCCTCCTAACCGCAAACTTTATGACGGTAGTTTCTTCTTATCCTCGATTGGTTGCTCGTGCAACAGACTATTTCCGTGTCAATGTTGATAAAATGACTTGACCAATCAGACCGCGGCGTCGTGAATTGCTTACGCTGGGCGCATCTGTCGAAAAAGATCGTGACGTAATGCGAAACGGCACACTTCACTGGAATTGATAATATGTTTCGCTGATTTTCTTTTTATTTAAATAACTTACTGAGTGATAAACTTGCTTTTGGTCTAGCTGATCAAAATATATAGTTTATCCTGAATGGAATATTTCACATCATGATTTTGAATTCATTGTTTTAAATTTTGACTCGTTTTTTTAAAAAGAAAATAATCATTTTAATACGAGAACTTTATTTCAAAGTTTATAACATTTTAACCCTGAACCGTGAGCACTCTCTGCAACCTTAAAAGACCGGATTTTATAGAAATATTAAGTTTAAAAAAAAACGAAACCAGATCATTCTGACTTTAATAATCATAACAAATATTTTGGTATACAAATATATCTAGGACCATTCAGTTTGACAAAAACGTCATTGTCCACGAACTTTTTGGACAACCCTCGTATAATATCAATAAACCAATATTTCTGTAGCATTGTAATGTGTTGGGGGTAATTACGGATGAGTGTGGATTTAATATTCATTAATTAAAATGTTCTAAATGCTTAAGCCAAAGAAAACAGTAAGGATTGAAATAACAAAAGGAATCTATTTTAAAAATCATATATATCAGCGATGTAATGTCAGGGAACAGAATAAATGGATGAATAGTAAACGGACCCCCCCCCCCCCAAAAAAAAAAGGTCATAGAAAAGCAATGTAATACATAAAGGAAATTACAACAAGGAAGAGAAACAGAGGTCGCAGAAAATTGTCACTGGTTTTTCATAACGATGAATGGCGTGACAACACTCTGCGCAATTTCAATGGCCAAGGTAAATCGGCAGACCTCATAATTAGTCTTTGGGGGTATAAATCTGTTAAATACACCAGTACTTAGCATTGCATACGTTTATCGATGCATGTGTTTATTAATTTTGTCTTAATTTATACCAATAACTAACAGTTCTAGGTTTATAAATCCCACCAAAACTTCTCTTTACCAATTGAGGTAAACCATAACTATAATGGTAATATTGTATACAACAGTTACCTGGTCTTTTACTGTATATGCGTATTTTGTATCTAAAATCAAGTAGATTTCTCTGCAAGATATATAAAATCAAGCCAATTTCTCTGCAAGATGTATAAAAAGAAAAATTTGCACTTAAATACTAAAATTAAAAAAAAAATTCCAAAAAATGGGAATGCTGAATGCTTTTCTTGTTTATCATAAAATAATTCGTCTTCTACTTGTGTTGGAAGTTCAAAAATCCAAGTGATTAGGCCATTATTTTATGATCAATATTACAGTTACTAGACTTTCTATGACCAATATTAAAGTTACTAGACTCTCAGTAACCAATATTATAGTTGCTAGACACACTTTCTAAGATGGCTTTTCCATTTAAATGTGACTTCCCTTCTCTCTATCATAAGAAGTATTTTTTTAATGATATTCCCGATTTTCTTTTCCATAGCTGTTTTTTGCCATAAATTTCGAAATATTCATTATTCAACTAAAAAACATTAACCTAAAAAAAAAAAATCTGCAATATCTGAACAACTTTGATGTTTTATAAACCCTTTACCAGAAAATACCTGAAAAATAGTCAAAATGAAATCAAATCAATATTACACCATGTACTCCAAAGTTAACTTTGTAAATATACATTTACTTAATCTCTATGTATAAATTTGGATAAATTGTATAATTCATTTTTTTAACTCCTGAGTCCGTAATTATGTATTTTTGCTATTTTTAAAAATATTTTTTGTTTATTTGTTTGTTTTTAATTTGCTTCTAAATAAAACTAAAATTTCTTTTATATTCAGTGATATTACGGCTTACAAATATAAAATCTCGAGTTTAATTCAATGGAAAAAAGAATGTCTGTAACGAGGAAGTTTAAATAGATCTTTATAAACTATACACAAAATCGAGATTAAATCTCCCGTCTATTATCTACTGACCCTGTTTTTCTAAAATATGCACTCAAGTATTTGACAAATTTCAATAGTTTTGTAGTAATCGCCAACATCAGGACAATACAGGACAAGGCTGAATAATAAGGTCTAATACAAACTATATATATATATATATATATATATATATATATATATATATATATATATATATATATATATATATATATATATATATATATATATATATGAAAAATGAAAAGAGGATTGTTTAGCTTTAAAACAAAGAATAAACCGATTATATAAAACTAATAAGTTCTTTTCAAAAGAGTACTTTCATATTTACATTTATCACATTTTAAAAATGTCTAATTAAAAAGAAATACATATATAATAAAAGAATTAATGTATATATCGTCATTTAAAAGACACGCGTTAATCTGCATTATCTAGTAGTCTAGGATTTTTTAAAAATATACCCCTTAGAGATTGTTTGTTGAAGGATATTATCATGACACGGTCAAGGAGACGTTGAAATAAACTCTGTTTTTTCTTCCTTTTTTTTTTTTTTTTTTAAATTCATTGTAAATAGTATAATGCTTGTTTCATGTCGCTAAGTATTTCATCTATACATATATATCTATTTAATTGTTGCTTCACAACTATCGTACGATTTTTGGGATCTTCCAAAAAGATATTTATACTATGTGAACAAATGCCTATAAGCATCCGGGATAAGAATTACTATGAAGCATAAACTTAGCTCACCTGTCCCAAAGGCGCAATGAGCTTTCCTAGTTGAAATTATCTGTCGATTACCTATTACAAGTACTTCTCTGTAACGTTTCATATTTTAAACTTTTTACAGCACTCTTGTGTAATTTTAAAGCACACTAGGCAAAATGTGTAGGGAATTCAACGTTGTTTAAATAAATTGGTTGTGCTTATTACATGTCATAATGGGAGAAATAGTGAGTAAGTTCTTACGAGAGAGAGAGAGAGAGAGAGAGAGAGAGAGAGAGAGAGAGAGAGAGAGCGATTTCTTTTATAATAAGATTCTTTTTTTTTTAAATTTAAATTTTAGATTCGGTAAAGATAGGTAGAAGTTATACAAAGGAATAAAAGTTTGGCTTCTAAATGTGAAGGAAGATCAAGCACACACGATCATATTTTCTCAAATCAGTAAGACTGTACCAACGTCGTTAATTTTGTAATTAATGGTATCGAAATTCAAGTTTTGTTAGCTTTGAAAGTTTTACAAGGATATGTAAAAATTTTAATTAGATGTTTTAATTCCTTACAAATATGGTAAGATTTACAAGGTTATGAACAGTACATAATAGTTGACCAAGGTTGAAAATCTGCTTTTAATGTAGGTCGCTAATTTTAAATTTAAACGTTCTTACCCAGAGAGAATATTAAGATGAGCGTTAAAGCCTTGAGGCCTCATTTTCAATTAAGGTATTCTATGGAAATCGAGAAATACATATAATATAGACTGACCTGGATTTTTCCCAGACTGAATTAATTAACACCCTTCCGGTATAAATAATATTTCTATATTTAGATATCAATTAAGGTATATATTGCTCCGCATAATTCAATTTCGTCACACCAAGAAATTATTTCGGAAAATGGGCAACGTGCAGCCTCCATCGCTGCCACAACATGATAAGCAAATCCAATCTAGACACCAAAAACTAGAAATAGCTAGGGAGAATTATCAACTGGAACAAAAAACATTCGGATTAACTAATATTGAACAGCGGGAAGTTAATGTTGTCAATATCCCACCTATGGTCAGTATTGGAATTTATGGTGATCATTTTATTTTCTTCAAAAGTACCTTACGTAACCATATATATTATTGAATTTTCCGTGTAAGTAATATTATAGTATACTGCATGAAAGATATCTCATAGAGAAATGTGCATAAACTATTTTATACTTTTTATTTCTCCCCCCCCCCTTTTTTTTTTTTTAAATATCCTTATTTATTTAATCACAATGATTTTCTTTCAAAGTATTTTTCTTAGCCAGGTATTTTTCACCTTTTAAATTGGAATTATTTTTTTAATTTAAAATCTTCATTTTTTTTGTTAGTATCCTTATTTTTTTTCTTATTCTTCTCCATGTAGCAATTCATGTGATTTATGTTTAAAAATCAATTCAAAATAATAATAAAAATATTTCTCATATTTTTCACTCTAATCAGCCATTTTTTACACAACCTAGATTCATATAGATTCATTCAAAGTTGTTTTTTTATTTGTAGCTACGTAAACTTCCAAAAGAAGAACAGTGGTCTTTTTCATCATTGGTAAGCAATACATTTAGTGCATGTTGTGTTTTTCCAAATTAGCTTTACTGTTGTAGTTACATGTAATTCAATCATAAATTATCCGTCGAGGGAATTTATGCTGCATATGCTCTACGTATGAACAATTTCAAAACGAGTTAAGTTATTGACAAACAAGCTGATGAAACAAGAATATCAGCTGTCTCGTTTAAAGTCGTCATTTCGCAAGTTCTATGGTCGATACAATGACCATGTCAGTAAATACAATTTATCATTAAGTCAAATGCTGACTGACGTTTTTCATACTAATTGTTAGGCCATTATTTACACACGGATTTTCCGATATTTTCTTAATTGTATTCTATTCATACTCATGAAACAGGATCGAACTGATAGAATTTGTTGGCATTTCAAACATAATTAAAATTTCTCATTTCTGTAACAGATGAAATTTGCCCTCCGATATTTGTTTTACTTTCTCTATCAACGGGTTTTTCAATGTTGTCATTGTGGTGGATGGACAATTCGCCAAATGATCAACCATTTTAGATCTTCCTGCATTCTTAAAGAACCAAAGGTAAGAAGGAATGTGATTTTTCTCTTGAATACATTGTTTTTTTTTTTATCTACCTCTTCACTGATAACGCTATGTTTCTTGCACGAAAAAAAAAGAAAAAAAAACCCCATTATTTTAGACAAAAGAATGAATTAGTTGTTTTCACTTAAATACTCTCTCTTTTAAAACAGGTTCTAGGTTAATATGTACATGTACTTATATATAACAGAAGATAATTTTATTTTTGATCAATATTGTATATTTCTTTAGCAAATAAATATCATTTAGATAAATTGCGAATGATTTTCAGGCCTTAATATTCACAGATATATGAACAAATATTCATTTACGAATATAAATCAACATTTTCCCATAAAAACTTTGTATTATTTGCAGAACATTTCTGTAGTGTATAATAAACACCTCTCTGTTTTTTTTCCCAGGGCTGTGAAGTGTGGAGAACAGAATTTGTAAATAATCCAAATCAAACTCCTGTGCGTATATTTCACACCCTGAATATAGACATTTCATAGTTAAAAATACTTTTTCGGTAGACTTCGAGATTTCTACCCAACTCAATATTCCAAGAATATCCAAATTTTAGGATTTTATGGTGTGTGTTTTTTAAACTCTCTTTAAGATACAGAAAGCTCAAACTGACCACTGGTTTGCATGGCAGAGATTGAATGGTGTTACACGAAATCTCATCAAACTTGCAACAGAAATTCCTCAACAGTATTTGCTTTTATTTTTTAAGGAATGATCTTTAAAGCTTAACTTTCATTTATCCAATTTTTTCAGGTGATTAAAATTCTTGAGTTGTTTTCCACATTCAAATATATAAAAAACTACCCATTCGTGATTAAAAAACCCTTTTTGATATAAAAATCTTGTGCTTTTTAAGATTTGGACCGTTTGTAGAAGCAATAGAGAATGACCACCAATATCTTGGTGGGAAGTCACTCAAGTCCCATATACAGGATAAGACGTTGTTTGTTGTGGACCTAGCGGATGTATCATTCAACGAGCCATCGGTAAGGGTGTAATATGAAAATTAAAAAAAAATCATAAAAACGCATGTAGTTTGATTGTTAATGTAAGTATAATTAAAATGTCACGTTGTCAAAACATTTGTCGGTAATATATAAATGGCATTTTATCCATTTTTGTATCGTATTCATATAGAAGAAAAAAAAGGAGCTATAAATGCACAGAGAAAGAATTTAATTTAAGTGAATTTAGCCATGAATTTATAAAGAGGGCTTGCGGATGTATGCTCTGACCTTAGCTAAAAATACTAGTATTTGCAACTGCATTTAAAATTATTTCTATCCATAATTTGCAAATTCTACGGTCGTTATAATGACCTCGTTTGTAAATACAACTTCTCGATGGATCGTATTTTCTCTGACATGTTTCATACAATTTGTTAGATAATTGTTTTTATGATAAATTAGTCTACAGAGTATTACGCCTAACTGATCAACATATATGACTCACAGCGGGTATGACCGCTCGGCAGGGGATGCTTACTCCTCCTAGGAACCTGATACCACCTCTGGTGTTTCTAGGTATCTGTGTTTTTGTTCTGTGTATGAGGTGGGATCAGGTGCTTCGGAGGAGTAAGCATCCCTTGTCGACCAATCACACCCGCCATGAGCACTATGTATTGATCAGGTAGACGGAATAATCGGTAGTCAAATTTAGTATAAAAGCAAAGGATTTACAAATTAATTCGATTATAAAGATTTTTTTTCTAATTTCTGAGTTTTGTGATCTTGTTCAAGTTTTGTATTTTTCACAATTAAGAAATTGCATACTTTTTTTCAAGTTTACATTTGAATTCTAAGATTAGATTTAGATCAAAAGTTTTTTTCTCTCTTTGTAAAATGCTGATTAACAACTTTGTTGAAAATCATTTTTTCTTTAAATTGTATTTAGTTATTTCTGTTAATTTAAGCTTTTGTCTCCTATTGCCTTGTTCGTGACATACAACAACCTGCTGATGCCTGTAGCAATTCGTATTGACCCAGGAAATCCGAATAATAATGAGGTAAAAATATCAAATGATCTATAGATGTAAGAATGGATTACTTAGTGTTTTCACAAGTTTGACGATTTAATAATTATTTCAATGAATATATTGCTCTTTTCAAAGGGAAATATTTTTTCTTAAAATGGGAGATATTTTCTGATGATTGATTGATTGCATGTTGTTTAACGTCCCATTCGAGGATTTTTTGACTCATATAGAGACGTCACCAAATACCGGTGAAGGGCTTCAAATTTAGACCTTTTCTCGGCACTCAGGGTCATTGAGCAGTGAAGGATCTTTATCGTGCCAACGCCTGCCATGACACAGGGTCTCGGTCTTTAAGGCCTCATCCGAAGGACCCGCAACTTTCATTTCAAAGTGCCGAGCGCTCGGCGAATGAACAGTTGCTACCTATTTTTCATCGACTTAGGTCAGTCGTTTTCTGATATGGTTTTACATGTGAAAGCCATTTCTTTGCGTGTTGTAATCAGTCATCTACAAACTTAGTTAAAAATCTAATTTTACACATAAGTACACTGAGGTTGATAACAAAAGGATGTTGTAGTTTCTTATGGACAATATCTAAGTAGTCTTTGGAGACTAATTGTCCTCCTTTATTAACCGATTTGTTATATTCCTTTGAAGCAAAATGTATTTATAAACTTGTACACGAGAAGAAGAAAATATATACTAGCGGTGGTCTTCAACTCGACACTCAGATATATTGACGAAGTTGTATCAATTAACTATAGTTATTTCATTCATATGTCCACTCGGTATATCCCAGTGAACTCGAAATAACACCACAAAGTCCTCCTCATTTGTTTCATATTTGGATTTTTTACTGACTAAAGACGATAAGGGCCAACAAATAATTGTCTGACTAACAACTAAACTGTCTGACAAATGGGACTTCAGCTTTTCCATCGTCAGATCAATTTTTCTTATTTATGTTCCACTATCACCTGCATGTGGTGCTTATGTCTCCAACTTATTTTGTGCACAAATGCATATTCTGAATACGATCAATTTAAAAACCGAGGCAGACTAGTGAAAGATAACTTGATGTTACAGGGATTTCAACAACATCGCTTAGAGTTGGCAATTCGTATATTCTATGATGACTTTGATAGCAAATACAACCTATCATTGAGTCGTATTGTGAACGACATATTTCATAATAATTGTTAGGCCTTTGTTTTTTTATACTAACATTTAAAATTCAACAACAGATTAAGGAAGCTCTAAACACTGCACACTAAAGAGTTCCATTTGCAGGGTAGTTTTATTGAGTTAGAGTGATCTACCCTTGGAAGAAAAATAGAATAAATTTGAATCTACAGTTAATGACACACTTTCTTATGAATTAAAGTATTCTTAATGTTATGTTAGACCAAGATTAAGTAATTGAATACATTATTTCTATTAATTTTCCCGATGCAAGTAAACAACAGTGATTTTTGTTCACAAATAGTTTATTGTCTTTGAACATTTTTTCTGCAGAAATAAGGCGGGCACCCTATGTTGAAAATGAACTAGATACACTGAATATGTGCACCTTTATATGATATATTTTTCTCAAAGTCTAAAAAGCATTTTTCATTAGTGTTTAGAGCTTCCTTAATATGTCTACCTGATCAATGTATTGGGCCGACGGAGGGTGTGGCCGGTCGACAGGGGATGCTTGCTCCTCCCTCCTATACAACTGATCCCACCTCTGGAATTTCCAGGAGTCCGTGTTTTATGCCCTATTCACAGATTTGTTTGATTGATTGTTTGTTGTTTTACCTCCAGTTCGAGAATTTTTCACTCATATAGAGATGTCGCTGTATGCCGGTGATGAACTTCAAATTTAGACCTTTACTCGGCACTCAGGGCCTTTGAGCAGTGAGGGGTCTTTATCGTGCCACTACCTACCCTGACACGGGTCCTCGATTTTCATAGTCTCCTCCGAAAGACCCGGTGCTGATGGATGCTTGGCGAAGGGCCAGTCACTATTTATGTTTACGTCTTAGGTTTAATGGTTTGGAATCAAACACGGACATCCCGATCACGAAGCGAACACCCTACCATAAGCTAAGACTACCGTGACCAGTTTCACAGATTTATATTGCTTGTAGGTTTTTTGAGATCGATCACTGTTCGTTATCTTCACTTTTTTCATACCTCCTTTCACAGATTGATACAGTCTAAAAATTTGCATAGAAATACTCAAAAGAAAAATAAATGGGAAATCTAGATAATGTAATTACTTTGTAAGGTTAAAAATGATGATAATACATGTACATGTACCTCTAATTAATGAAACAGGGACGTTAAATGATTCATTTATAAGGGTAACAAAACTAAATATTAATGTAATTTATTGAGAAAAATAGGTTTAGTCAACTAAAAGAAAAAGATACTGTGATACTGTAGTAATCATTTTTTTAAAGTTACGACTACGGCCCTTATTACATGGTGGTTGTGTTTTTGCCGGTATTTCAATAAATATTAAGACTTTACAATTTTCTTAAGTGTCTTACCTTTAAAAACACAAATTATGGGTCTATGTATTTTTCCGTAAAATATAATATTTAAAACTTATCATACATGACATAAAGGAAAAGGATCTGAATCAAATTCACAAGAGTAGGAGCTGCATTTGTCAGACATGATGTACATTTTTTTTACTTAATTTTTAAATCCGAGGGAAAATTAGACAAACAAATTCCATTGAAAAGAAAAAAGTGGATTTTAAATTAAAAATTGTCTACTTAAAACATAATATAGACGGTTGAACATTTTTATAAAATAAGACATACAAATACAACAAGATTCAAAGTACTGTAGATTAACAAGAACAATCGTGCTTTGACAATATTTCCAATTTCAGGTATTTATGCCTCCCCAGTTAGGTTCTGATTCCACAGACAAACTACGAGAGTGGGTCAAAGGTAGAATGTGGTTCAATATGTTGGATGCTCAATATCATGAGTCAGTCACTCATTTAGGTAACGTATTTCGGCTTTACGATCTGTAAGTAATCAATTGGTTCATAAATAAGGATTATAAAAAAAATAATTATTAGAAATCTTTGATGTTTTACAATTTCAAGACTAGAAATCTCTAAAGAAATCTTTTCACATGAATCATCCTTACAGCTTGATTTAAGGGTATCTGTTTTCGAAGCATATGATTGTGAAAAAAATCTGATACCAATTAAATTAAACCATACAATAAAATCATTCAACAGAAAAAAATTATAATTTCAAATAAAAAATGAAGAAAGATTTGCCTATCGTTTAGATGTAAAAATAAACACACTTGAAGGTGTACGGATCTTCATATAGAATATATATAGTGTTATACAGAATATATAGAGTTAAGAAATATATAGTAGAATATATAAAAAATATAAGTCATTTGATTGTTTTCGTGTTTGTAGGCTTCACACATTTATTGATGGAAGGGATAAGCGCATGTATGCACAGAAATATATCTGAGAGACATCCCATATACGAATTAATGCTTCCCCATTTCCGCTACATGCACTTCATAAACGAGTAAGATGAAAAATGATGTCTGGTCAATATACAGAATAAAAAAAACTACTCTTCTCTAAAAAGTATATATGCTCAGTTTCAATTCAAATTATTTAAATAACTCTCAATCTCGGTGATTATATTCTAAAATTGTTATATTGTAGACTCGCTACGAAAGAACTGATCGAACCTGGAGGATATGTGGACAGAGACATGTACTTCGGACAAAGGAACATGATGAAATTGATAGCAAAACAGTAAGAATGACTTTGACTAGATGTGATCCACTAATGATGTCAAGAAAATTATTCACATTTTCATGTATCATGAATATCTGTGGTAAACTTCATATTAGAAACATTCAAAATCACGTATCTTTTAATGAGATGCAACAGTGTAAATGATCGAGCAAAGGGATTTGTCTGAGCAAAACAAAATAATTCAGAAAATAAATGACAATGATGTTACATGTTTATTACCTTTGAATATTTTTTGCATATCACCATCTTTAGCCTGCGAGAATAAACTGATAAGCATACAGATAGAATAGAAAAAAGTGAATTTGAAAAATTATCTACGTTATTCATTTTATTTTGTAAAATTTCAGTAATGAAAGATGGTCATTTGAAGAGGATGGGTCTATTGAAAGAAACTTCCGCATGCGAGGTGTTATGGTAAACCTCATTACATATGGAAGTATTTAAAATCAGAGAGAGAGAGAGAGAGAGAGAGAGAGAGAGAGAGAGAGAGAGAGAGCAATAATCCAATGATAATTTGCATATACATGTAACATATACAAGCTGGAATCATTTGTCTGTCTTTCAGGATATACCAGGATACTTTTTCAGAGATGACGCCCTGCAGCTACTTGATGTCATACAGAAATTTGTTCATGAATATGTTACAAATTACTACAGTTCGTATCATGTCGATTTTATTTTTGAAATTGATTTTTATTCTTAATACGTGCAATGTATACGAATCCACCAAAATGAAATAAATAAACAAATTCAAACAGAGACTTTTTATAAGAGTTTTAACCCTGCGTTTGGTCTTATTTCAAATGTTTGGCAGAAGACGATCAGGAAGTTTTACAAGACCAAGAGATTCAGGCCTTTAGAGCAGAAGTTATTGCACCAAGGTCTTTGACTGGTGTTGGAGGGTGTGGAATGCTGGTAGGTCCTTTAACCATCGACATTTTGAGCTTTATGTACATATTTTAATTGACAAGAATATTTCCCGGGTGCATTATTAAATTTCTGTATATGTAATTGACAAAAGAGAAAGTCTACTTAGAAAAAAAAGATATGTTCTTAAGAAAATCGTAAATATACAAAAAAAATATATATATATTGACAATAATGGAGATAATTTCTTCAATATATATTCAAAAATCATATACTGCGAAATCACTGATTATCGTAGGGATTAATTTTCGTTGTTTTCGTGGTATGATTAAACCCACGAATTCATGTCCTCCACGAAATGTAAAATGTAAAATTTCAAATATATAACAACAAAATAACAACAGCAACTATAATAAGCAATTCTCAACCCCGAAATCAAATCAACACGATCCAATACTTTTTCCTCGAACCTCGAAAATTTGACTCCACGAAAATACATTTATGTGATTTTAAATAGATTAGAGCGTATGCGCCTCTCAACAGGAAATACCGACTGCGTATGATACTAGAATTATCAATTTTGATCATGAACTAATTGTATTAGAGTGCTGAATTTGCCATTTTGTTGAACAATTGCATGTTGAAATTTTTGGGGAAACTGTGATGATTTTAATTTCTCACAAATGGATGGATGTATTTAATGTAGATTCATCTTAATTCTTGGGAATAAATGTTCTGGGCAACCGAAATTTTCCTGATTTATAGGACATAACTTAGAGCGAGTCATATCACAGAATACGTTGAAAAGGTTCGTGTTCCTGGGGCATAAATTCGTGTGTAAAGGTAATGCAGAGTATCCTCGAATATTGATCCTAAACAAACAATTTTGATTCTTTCTCTAAGACCTACCTATTTTTAGAGTGTACCGGAGTTTGACAGTATAGCTAATGTTGTGACCGTCCTGGCGAATTTCATCTACATCTGCAGTGTGGAGCATTCTGCAACAAACTTTCCACAGTATGAACAATACGCTTTCCCTCCAAACATGCCTGCTATTTTGAATGGCCAACCCGAGTTAGAAACCGTAAATATACATGTTTACCTTACATTTATAGTATTATGACTTATACAAAACATGAACATCCAAGACTTAGCTTGACTATTAGTATTGCATAAATAAAATTTTAGATTGAATAATGTTCTGAGAGAAAATACTTTTTTTTAAAAAGGGTGTACATGAACTTGACGTAGCAATGCCTACAGGGCAGCAATTTTTCTCGACAATCAAAATTATGATGGTTTTGACAACAATTACGACTAACAGCCTTGGAAACTATGAGAGTGTGTACCTAAATGCAATGGACAGTGCTGGAAGACGTATTGTGCAAAAGTATGAAGGAGTTTAAAGTATAAAAGTTTAAAATTCATTCTATCAATAGTTTATAGAACAAATCAAATTCTTTTGCAACCCAGTTACAAAACACATATTTAATAACAAACGTTGATGCTTTAATGATAAATGCGTATGAAATGTAAAAAAATGGGAACTCAGCATAATGTCAAGAATGTCATTCATTGACTTAAATTTTGTGACTTACTTTGCAGATTTCAACAAAATTTGATTGAAGTCAGAGATAATATTAACCAAAGAAACAGCTCCATCGAGAATTCTGTACACCAAATTAATGAGTATCCATACGATTGGCTGCTTCCAGCCAATGTACGGAACTCAATAAGTATTTGAAGAGGTCCTTTTTCTATGCACGTTTTTTCTCACTACTTGAAATGAAAGTAAACGTTTATGATTCATGTTAATTGGAATAATCACACTTAACTTTTGTGGTATGGAATCGGACACTATATTCTATAAACAGGTTATGTTATCTAGGATTTATATGGTATTGAAGGTCTGAACAGAGTTGACCACAGGCTTTATATTTCTTTAATGATACAAGTATTGATTTTGTAATAGTTTTAAAATTGTCATTATAGAAATCTCAAAAATGTAATGAAAGCAGGAATGCATGTCTATGAATGATTTCATTGACATATGTAAAATGTTGTTTTGCTAAATGAAGATTTTTATTTTACACACACAAACTGACAATTATTTGAAAATTGTCTGGACGTCATTATTGAGCTCTCTTTGTAATAGAAATGCAATCCTGTAAAACATAACAGTCTAATAATCTGCTTACCCCCAGTGAATTTGTATTTAAGCTAACTACGTACTTTTTAAAATTTTAAGTGACAAAGTTATAAGCATCATATATCCTTAATAAAGTTCGGAATAAAAAAAAATCAGATTTTTTGGTCCAAGTAGCCCTCATTCAATCCTATAGTTTTTCAAATAGGAATGTATATAAATATTTCTGTGGGTAGTAATAAAGAGAAATCAAATGAACAAACGAGATAAGTTCGGAAGTCTATAGGTTACATAAGTTCAGATCACTATTATTTTGTCTTTATCTTATTATGTTAGTTGCTATTCTATCGTAACTATGAGCTATTTTAGTACGAATATTTGTACTTAGAAAATGGCGTAAGCAAAAGAAAAAGAAAAAAACCCATACATATTTCTATTCATCTTTCGTTTCAGAACAAGCTGTCTTGTAATAGATTCGTGCAATGACAAATGTAAATTTGGAAAGAATTATATTGATGATTTCTATGTCAATATTTCGATTTGCTAGAAATGCTGTTTACATATTTACAAATTATTAATTATTATACCTTTATACAGGTCTGTTTTGTATATGCAGTAATTTCCTTGGTATCAACCATGATAATTTGCACACACACACACACACACATACATGTGAAAGGTGTCAAACGGGGACAGGGGTTAAAGACTGTCAAAGTGGGGACTTCTTTATTTTTATTATTTCATTGGCTTTTGACCAAAAATATTAGTCCTCCTATAACTCTGATGGCGAATATAATGAGAATATGTCAATATCTTTAATTTTAAGCCACGCACTTTTTACAGCACAAACGGGGACCTATTTCACACTTATTAATATTCACACACCAGTACTTGATTCATTGTATCTAATCGGGGACATTTTCAAAAAAGAATGCAAAATACTCCCTTTTGTGCCTTTTATTCATTAATTACCATCGTTCTCATCACTGATTAGGATTCTTGTCTTCATAGGTACTTGAATGTTTTATATTTTAAATCAAATATGGAGATAACGAACAGTAATAAGCCTCAAAAGTCCATTGAAACCCATAGGCACTCCCCAGCTTAATTGTTAAAAAATATATATCTATATACTATAAATATGTTTATAGTATAGTAGATATATTTTTTTAACAATTAAGCTGGGGAGTGCCTATGTTGAAACCGTACAAATCGTGAGCAGGGCAAACACGGACGTTAAAAACACTCGAGTTCACAGTGCCATGGAGGAGTAAGCACCCCCTGCCGACCGGTTTCGCATGGTATTTGGTCCGCCTCGTTTAAAGGTCGGGGGGGGGGGGCTAATACGATAACATATAAGGTCCCCCTTTTATAAGAAAAGGTCCGGCCCGTATAAGAGAAGGTCTGTCTACGTTTAAAGGTCCGGGTAGTGCAAAAGGTTTTAATCTTGATTTAAACACATAAAATTAAATATACTGAGTAGTTTGTACAATATATCTCTAGAGCAGGAATTCTACTCCTTATTTAGCAGTGCCGTTTATTTTAACATTTCCATGCTTGTGGTGTAAAAACTGCATACAAAAATCTCCTTGGACTACAGATGTCATTACAAATGTATTTTTTTTTTAATTACCTATGATATTTTTATGATCGATGATTTTAGCATTTCAGAAGAAAATCCAGGTTTATATATTAACACTACCCCCCCCCCTCCAACCCCCCCCCCCCCCCGAAAAAAAATGACGAGAGATATTATTTTGTTTTGTGTATTTCAATTTTTTTTTTTTAATCTTTTTTAAAGCTTATTTCTAAATTTATTTTTCTTGTTCGTTACATTTTATTGTGCTTTTTTATGATGTATAGTTATGAAATCTCGGCGGAAAACTCAGATTCATCTAATACTAGAGGCTTTTATGCCCCCTCCCCAATCCCCTTTGAAAAAAGTTACACAGTTCAGATTTAATTGTTTGTTTGTATGTTTTTTTCACTGTTTCAAAAGTTTTATTCTACGATTTTATGATCGGTAACTGAACAATTTCAGAGAAAACTAAATATTTACAATAAATGATCCCCACCCTTGTCCAGAGAGAGAGAGAGAGAGAGAGAGAGAGAGAGGTTAATCAATATAATAAACCACATATAAATTAAATCAAGCCGTTCGTCTAAAATACTTTCAGTCCTGGTGATTTTTCCCAAATGATGATTATGTTCCGGAATTTATTCCTTTTTGGAGCAGTTTCGATTGCACCTTTCCTCGCACAAATGACCCGAAGAACTTAATAAAGAAATCATCCTCTCCAGCCGCCACTACACTTATTACAGGAAGCAGATACACAAGATTTGCTAAAGAAATACTGCATTATTAACGCAAATAATACCTATCGCTGTAAAGTAATTTTTATCCAGTGATCATTTCGACACTGAACTCCGTTTTCTCATTAACGAAAGGACACCCCCCCCCCCCCAACTCCCTTCCTTCACGTTTCTGCTGAAAATACAATTTTCTTAGACAAAGCGTTCTTCCTTACATTGGAAAGCAAGCTCACAGAGCAATCATCTTTACTCCGTCTTTACTGTTTCCTTATTAAAGCAATCCCAGAATCCACAAACTTTTATCATGGTACATGACTTGCAAATGAAGGAAACTTTTTGACCGTTAGCCAGTCATTGTATTCTCCATGATAAATAAGTACCTATTCTTAGGAAGAGAAGGATTAATTTAAAAAAAAATAATACCAGTGTGTTTATTCCTGCTTGATTATAGATGACAATTTTGCTTTAAGTTAAGACAAAATTAAAATTTGATAACACGTATTTATTTCCGCTGCGCAGATAATAGTGCATTACCACAAGAAGTGAATTCGGAATTTGCAGTGTGGTTAGGGTCCATATTTTTTAATGAATAAATACATACTATTTATCAGGATGAAGATTTCCGCAGAGGATAAAGGTGTTCATGATCAAACATAAAATTTAGAGACCAATCATGGGGGGGGGGGATTTCTGCTACTTTCTCTTTTAAGCATAGGTTTTGTGCACCCCTCCTTCAGGTGTGACGTACATTTTTATATTTAAAAGAAATTACTCCTCACGCATTGTCGCAACAGCACAACTGTTTTTTTAAATGAAATTCGATTTCGCGTTATGTAAGGAGTTTTCCATGTAATACATCGTCGGAGACCATAATGGTTTGGATTTAATTCTTTCTTATAAGGTTTCAGTTTAATTTCAGATCAGGTGAAAAATATTCATCTCTCAATAAGCGCTGATAATTTGTTTTAGTCATTTATGGACATTGGCGAGACACGGTTATCCGGAGGAAAAAAGTTTAATTCATAGGTTTTTCCACTTATAAAACTGATTTAGCCCCCTCCCCCTCTTCCTCGCCTGAGATGCATTGTCCTACCGGAAATTTCTCCAGCCAATACCGAAAATATTCATATAATCATTATTCAAAATTTTATTAGGTAATATTCGAAACATACGGAAGCCGGTAGGTGCCAGGTAGAAAAATATTTTTCTGGCGGCCGCCAGATAACTTATCTGGCGGCCACCTGAAAATTATATGGCCACCGCCAATTATTTATCTGGCGGCCGCCAAATATTTATCTGGCAATATAAATAATAAGAAAGCGAAAATTTTGGAGAGGGTTCTTTTCTGCAGCATAAAAACTAGAGAAAGGGGCAGTGCGGACCTTTAACGCAGTATAACAAAAGGTCCACCCTTTTTATTTCAGATATCTTACTATTACAAAGCGATAATTTTGAACAGGGTTTGATTCCTTAACATAACTAGTCAAAATGGCAGGGCGGACCTTTAAACACAGCAATAATAAAAGGTCCGCCCTCTGTATTTCAGATATCTTACAAATGTTGAACAGGGTTTTTTTTTCGTAGCATACAAATAATAGAAAGTGACAAGCGGACCTTAAACCATCCCATATAAAAGTTTCGTCCTCTGTATTTCAGCTATCTACATTTTACAAAGCAAAAAATTTCAGACATGGTTTATTTACGACAGTAGCATAAAAGCTGTAGAAAATGGCAGGGCGGACCTTAAAACGCAGCGTAAAGAAAGGTCCTCCCCCTGTACTGTATTTAAGGTATCTTACTGTTACAGAAGGAAAATTGTCGACAGGGTTTATTTTCGTAGCATAAAAATAAGAGAAAGAGGCAAGGCGGACCTTAAAACGCAGTATAATAAAAGGTCCGCCCTCTGTATTTCAGATATCTTACTATTACAAAGCAAAAATTGTGAACAGGGTTTATTTTCGTAGCATAAAAATAAGAGAAAGAGGCAGGGCGGACCTTAAAACGCAGTACAATAAAAGGTTCGCCCTCTGTATTTCAGATATCTTACTATTACAAAGCAAAAATTGTGAACAGGGTTTATTTTCGTAGCATAAAAATAAGAGAAAGAGGTAAGGTGGACCTGAAAACGCAGTATAATAAAAGGTCCGCCCTCTGTATTTCGGATATCTTACTATTACAAAGCGAAAATTTTGTACAGGGTTTATTTTCGTAGCATGAAAATAAGAGAAAGAGGCAAGGCGGACCTTAAAACGCAGTAAAATAAAAGGTTCGCCCCCTGTATTCAGGTATTTC